TCTAAGCAACTGGAGCCGATTGGTCAAGTGAATGTCTCTCCCTGACAAATTGTTACCTCGGGAGTCTTCTCACTAAAGTATCTTTGACCGTGAATCGCCCCATACGTCTTCCCGGGACCCGTAATTTGCGAAGTTCGGGGGAGTCGAGACTTGGGTGTTGTATATCACGCAGACTCCATGCGCGGTATAAGTCTTTGGAAGGTCTCGATAAGTTTTGGTATTCAGGCTTTGGAGAAGTTCAGTAAATCGATAATTTCGGGAACACAGGCCGACCCTTGGAAATGGCGTTTTCTAGACTGCGTCTTTAGTTGATCATGATGGTTGCCCGACCAAGTCGATGGGCAGAACTTAAACTCAATCTGCATCACCAAGAAGAAGAAAAAGAACAGAAATGGAATCATTGACAAGTTGTTACCTCATGGAGTCTTCATATGTGGCACCAAAGTCCCATCGTGGCGATGTCCGTAATTCCTTTTCATCGCCTCATACGAGTACTTATCTCCCTGCACAAGGAAAAGTCTCATTCTGTTTGTTCAACATTGTGGATTTTTGCTGATTTAATGATGAGATCCTTAAAATATGAGAGGGGACTAGCATGACATACATTTCAAGTGTATCAGAAACGTATACTAATCATATGGGCGAATCTGGTAGGGATATCAAGGACACCTAGAATGTTCACAGTTACTACGGACTCGGACTGATCTTCAAGCCTCAAGTACTTCAAATTAATTAACCCCCAAACCTTGCCAGCCCTTCTCGAGAAGGAAGTTCTGGGAAGTCTTTTGGAAGGGGGTGTCTGATTATTAATCTCTACTGATACTCATGCAGCATGCTTCGAAGAATATCAGTAGCCTGACAAGAGGTGGATTGAACCTAAACTTCAAGGGTCAAATACTTCAATTTAGTTGAGCCGCAAGCCTGCAGTCTCTCATGAGGAGTAAGGGCTGCCAAAGAAATATTTTCTGATGCTCAGCGTGAGCCTTCGAAGATGCTCAGTGAACCAACAAGAGGCGTTTCTTTCTAGACTACGTCTTTCATTGATGATGATGATGATGATGGTTGTCGATGTGTAGCAGACTAGTATCACTGAGAGAGAAAACGCTGAGAGGACGTAAAAGTAGTAATCGAGAGGTTGTTACATCACGGTCTTCACACCAAAGCCCCAATGGCCATCGATAACAGTATGTCCTTTTTATCTCCCATAGTGTGCATACTCACCCGGGCCTCGTCACCCCCGCACAGACAAAGCCATATTATACTTCTGAGACCGACATACATCGTCGTATCTGCTGATTTTCAGAGCAGGGCCTTTGGGATATGAGAAGGGGTTGATAGGTACTACATGTACTTAGCCGTTCGATGGATTCGAGGCTTCAAGCTGTTCTCTTATCGTCCAACTGAGTGCCAATGACTTCTTTTTTTCTTCCTTCTTTCTTTCTTTTCCTCTTGATATTTTATAACTTTCTCGCTAACTTAGGTTCAATGCACGGATGATGATCAACTTTCACGACGTCCGTTTGAAGAACTCATCCAAGCAACTTGAACATGTGGCGTCGGATTATGAAGAATACAAAACATACTCGGGCCGTGCATACATTATTGCGGAACCCCGTATCAAATTTTAATGCTTCTATGTCAGGCTTATTAAAGATTGAACCAGGAATACCTCTAAATCTAGAACCAGGGGAGCATAAGGTTTGCAAAACAAATAGATAGAACATTACACACGAATACATACGAGAATAATAACAACAACATTGACCACTATGCAATACAACAGAGCTAAGGCATCAACTCTAGTTATGGGAGTATGAAAGTTAAAAAAATATGTACTAAGCACTTCATGAAAGGTCGTGGGTTGGAAATCAAGAAAGGAAAGTATACTATGCAACAACGAGTCCAAGAAATTGAATGGCATCCTCTTATATCCGATATACAGTTAAGATAGCGGTTACGCCATCTTGAGCGATTGCGTGGTTGATTCCTTTGTGTCCCGGATCTAATAGACCTTCATGCCAGTCAACTTCCGCGGCCCAATACATGCCACGCCAGGATGTTCCTGACAGCGCCCGTTCTACCAGCCAGTCACGACCGATATTATAGCCATTAGGTACTATCATATGGTTCTTGCCGCCGTCCTGTAAGTGGACTATTAGAAATATGTCATGCCGAATAATTGTTATGAATATTTACCAGCTCCTTTGACACACTGAAGGATGATATTAATACGTTAAGACAATCGTTATGGAGATGAAGGATTAATTAACTTACGCAAGAAACCATGCTCTAGTGGTATTCTGTTGCCAAGATCTAAAGTGGTGACCTCCTATGTAAAAGACGTCATATTTAGGCGATTGACGCCGACTCTACATGACTCTATGGTACTCACCTACGATACTCTGCCAACATGTACCGAAAACAGGGAAATATGTCTGTCTGGCTAAAAATTCCTCGTTCTTGCGTCCGTGGCCATCACCGAGGTCTGCGTCATGAAGTCGCCCATAATGTAAACCCAGGCATTCTTCTGCAAACCCCAACGAACTGTGGGATAAATTAGAGTCGAGACAAGATTTAGACGTTAGAAAATATAGACACACTTTGCGTAGAGTTTCAATCCTTCCAATGAAAGAATGCGGGGGTCGGAGTTCCCCGAGATTATGACGTTTAGAGGTTCACCCAGGTCATCGTTTGTCGCAAACTGAGTGAAATTAGTATCACTCAAAAGGCAGATTGAGCAAATAATGTCTTTACATACATCAAGCATACGTCCACCCCCTTCACTAGGATCCTCCCAGCCAGGGCTTGTCTCATTCTGAATCAAACGGGGAACAGAGCTTCCTAGTCGGCTGGATTGGTAACGGAATGTGGGCCAGGAATACGCCAGCGATGCACAAAATAGAGTGTATATAATGAACGTTTGCATCGTGAAAAAGAAAGTTAAGAAGAGGGTAGTCGAGGTATGGAGCTCAATGAGCTGGACATCTAGTTGAAGTTAGGCCAATCAGCCGCCGTTGTATTCGCTGGCCCCTATGTCGTTTGTGGGTGGGACATGTGATCCATAGTGGTCCACGGCTTAGTCAGCGCCTTCGGCAAACTCCGATCCCCTCTCGACCTTCTAGTCAAAGTAGCAAAAAGCTCTTAGAGAGCCACAAATGGCAAGTTTATCTGCGAAATTCCTATTCTACCACTCTAACATATGATTTATATTATAGCGTCCCATTCTTTTGCAAGGTGATTATCAACTCTGCTGCTGAAGCTGAACACATCTCATCGAAACACGTTAACAGGCCACGAGCGTTCACTCACCCAAATCAGATACAATGCTGAAGGAGACTTGCTCTTTAGTGTTTCAAAAGATCAACTGATCAATGTCTGGTACACACATAACGGCGAACGGTTAGGAACGTATGATGGACACAATGGTACCGTCTGGACCATTGATATTGACGGTACACGCCTCTGTTGTCACTATTTTCTTTCTTGAGTGCTAATTGTCTTCTCATGCAGCCGACACAAGATTCTTGATCTCTGGGTCCGCCGATAACACCATGAAGTTATGGGAATGCGCGACTGGAAAGTGCCTGTATACATGGGAGTTCCCTACCGCCGTCAAACGAGTGGCATTCAGCGAAGATGACTCGCAGGTTGTTTGCGTTACCGAGCAACGTATGGGTCATTCATCCACCATCCGCGTATTCGACATCAATCGTGAAGGAGATGGAACAAATCGTAAGTAGGGCGTTAGCCACCCGTACGACCGGTTCTGATTAAAACGATCTGCAGAATCGGAAGAGCCTGTCTACAAATTCAGCCCTATTGGTTCAAAAGCCACCGTCGTGGCATTCGCGCACGAACCGCACTTGATTCTCACTGGTCACGAGTCGGGCAAGGTCGCTGTTTGGGACGCGAAGTCTGGGGATGAAGTGAACAGCAACGAGCACGCGCATCGTGACGTTGTTACGGACTTGCAGCTGCACCCTGACCGCTCGTACTTCATTACGAGCAGCAAGGATAAAACTGCCCGGGTATGTCGTTCTTTTGGAGAATTGGCACTTGTGACTGACTGGAACATAGCTACATGATACGAAGAGCTTGGCAGTCCTCAAAACCTTCCCCACCGAAACCCCATTGAATAGCGCCGCGATTGCTCCCTTAAGACCATATGTTCGTTGATTCTCTCTTCATCCACTATTTCAGAGCTAAATATGTTACTTCTAGATCCTCATTGGTGGTGGTCAAGAAGCCATGAGCGTCACAACAACGTCCTTACGGCAGGGGAAGTTCGAGACGCGATTCTGGCACAAAATCTTCGAAGAGGAGGTGGGCCGTGTCAAGGGCCATTTCGGTCCTATTAACACGTGCGTTTCTGTCTCATAGTTTGCACTGTACAGATGCTGACCTTATTGTGTGTTATACAGTATCGCTGTCCATCCTTCCGGGAAGAGCTATGCGTCTGGTGGTGAGGATGGTTTCGTACGGTTACACCATTTCGACGACAGCTATTTCAAATCCAAACCATATGGCGATGTAGAGATAGATGATTGATTGGGTGTATGTATTGTACATGTGATATGACACTATAATGTCTTCTCATTTTTACACTAATTCGATGCGGTTGTGACCGTGGTGTTGATGTTCTTGCGTACGATCTGGGCCTCTATCTAATACTTCGCACATTCTATTGCATAGGAAGGCAACGAATACGACTTCAAAATAGCTACTAGTTAGATGAAACACATGGGAACGTCCTCGAATTCCAGTCTGAATATTGGAGCAGAGCGACGAACGTGGAAGAATGTCCTGCCGTTAGTGTTGCTTAGATCGTTGAAACTGCTTAAGTAGCTATTCTGAAGTACCTTTGATTCAGACTGGCAACGCGATCATCATTAGAAGGAGTATAATGAAGATTGAGGAAGACGCGAAGTTCCTAGGTCTATAATGACCAGAGAAGTAGTGATCTCCCCATAGGACGCATTATCAGTTATACAAGACCAAGCGGCCGCCTGGCGTAATGGCAACGCGTCTGACTTCGATTGTCAACGTAGTTCATCAGAAGATTGTAGGTTCAAGTCCTGCGGTGGTCGTTCTTTTTGCCTTTGCTTCCGGACGGGGGGGGGGGGATTTGGGGCGTTTGCCCAAAGGCCCCGGTTCCCCTTTTGGTTTTAAAACGGATTCAAAGTGGTTTAATTGCCCCCGGTTGGGTTTTTGGTTTTTTGCGCACCTTTTCTTTTCCGTTTGGGGCGGCTTTTTTTGTTGTTGTTTCTTTTTGTTCTTTAAGGGTTTTTTCGTTTTCTTTTCCCCTTTTTTTTTTCCGTTTTTTTCCACTTTTCGGGGTTTTTCCCCCTTGGCCCTTGGGTTGTTACTTTCCCTTTTTTCATTCCACGTTTTGGGATTCCCTTTGCGATTGCGAGAGACAGTATATGTACATCCAAGTCCTGTAATGTGGTTGATGAATAGTCCGCAGCGAAGTACAGTAAACAGAATCTCTCAACACAGCTTATGAGAAAGTCAGCATGGTGATACGGAAACCACTATAATACAATGTTTACCAAACCTTTTACGAATGTTCTATGGAAGATCTACAAAATTGGCTGCGAGTCCATCCTTTGTCTCTGCTAGCAACGACCGTACGGCCTGAACAGCCTTGCCGCGACATTCCTGGTGCATATCCATGATCCCGGTATACGCATATAACTGGGACAACACCGTCTCCAACTTCCCCAGCACATCAGCAGGGAACCTCGTCATGATCAAATCGTCCTTCGTCAACTCCTTCCAGTACGCCTGCCATCTCTGTCTACAACTATGGCCGTAATGCACACAGGGTGGGATCGTTGGTTGCATCGAACGGTAACGTTCCCATCTCGATACTAGGGCATAGTAACCGTTATGCAGCTTTGCGAGTTGTTCGCGCGTGAGTTTGAGTTGATCGTGGGTGAGTTTAGAGTCTTTTGCGAGAGTGAGCCATTTCTCGCGGCCTTGGATCATCAGGGCGTAGTATGCCGCTCCCGATAACGTTTGGATGTTGAAACGTTCACCGAGGCCTATGAACCATGGAAGATCCGCGTCATGACTGCGAAGCTCGTCAAGCAGACGCTGCACGACTGCGTCATGCAACAGTTCGTCTTCACAAAGGACAGCCAACTCGAGGACTCTCTGTAAACGATCCAATACTTCTGGTTCAGCGGATGCGTTGCGAAGAGACATCGCGGTCGATGTATGGATTCGCGGTGGAGGTTGACGAGATGAAGGAGAGAGCCACTTGAGGAAGGTTCCTAGAGACCAGATCTCCAGACTCTTGAAGCAGTATTTGTGTGCGATCTGCGTCAGATTGCTAAAGCGGTCAAAGCCATGCCATTCTCCGGGATCTTGTGGAGGACCTGCTTCGACGATCTCATGTGGTCTACGGACATTTGTACGTTAGACGGAGAAGATGCGAATTCCTAAGGGAAGTGTCTTACAGAGAATAGAGAGACCATAGGAGGCTACGGAACTGTTCTGGAGTATCTCCTTGTAGAATCACTGGGTCTGAATCACGAGTGCCCTCCACAGCCTGTTTGCCAGACGGCAGCCTGAACAGTGTCTCGAATGCTGAAGAGTCCCTGGACAGAATCGTCCTATGTACCTACGCATCGACATGAATATCTCCAGCCCAAAGATATACGAGAATAAACACACTTTAAAAAGCATATTCTGCACCAAAATGACCGCACTCCCGTCTTCAAAGTAGTAATCGGGATCACGGTGGACGTCCTTTGGGCTTTGCTTGGTGTCATCGGCGTGCATATTGGTCTCCGATCGTGCTCGTTTCCTCGGCCGTGCTATGTCTGAGAGCTCAGCGTCCTCTATTGGCATCTACGAGTGGTACGTTGTGAGAAAGGCAGCTCGATGCCGACTGGTCTTCCGGGGCTGTCTTAGGCGCAGAAGACCAAAAGAAGTAGGGCTTTCTCTCTGTTCGATGTTTGGAAATAACACATGCACAACGTGGAGAAGTTAAGATAGCTAATACATTACTTGTTCAACGTGCTTCGAGGAAGGAAGATCCTTTGCAGTGACTGTTTAAGCTGCAGTGGGTGGTTATGGGTGCTCGGCAGCCTTGGCTTTGTGTTTCTTTCTTGCTCTTATGTTCACAAAGTCTTGTTTGCAAAGCGGGGCCATTGTTCTCGACAATGGGTATATAAAGGAAATCATTTGAAGAACCTTCTACAGCATTACGATGGCCACTTTACTGAACGTTCCTCAAATGCAACTGGAGCTTGCGTTTCCTATCGAGTCGTGTCTCAAACGGCAATATGATAGTGATTCGGAGGTGACTCCTGTAAAGAGTCCTAAACGACCCCGAACTGGAGATGTATTGCGTTCGCCACGAGCTACATCTTCCAGCACTCAACTAAAATGGGACAAGGATTATGTTTTCTCCTCCGGAGATCTCATATTGATAGCTAGAAATACCACTTTCAAGGTAAGCTTCACTTTTAACTATTTTTCGTATTGGGCTGACGGACTGTCGTGAATATGAAAGGTTCACTCAGACTTGGTCGCGCTGCCTGGCTCGGCGTTCCATGATCGTTTCAAGCATCGGAAGGAGCCGGGCGGAGAGCATATACCTCTAGCGTATACTTTGGATATCTCACCTTTGCACCTGCGGCATTTCTTCTGGGCCTTGTATAACCCGTGAGTTCTTCTACATCTAAACACACACCGGTAGACTGAATCATCACAGGGCATACATAGTGCAGCCTGCTGTGTCGCCACGCAACCTTGAACTGGATGTAATGCTCAATATCTCCAACGTTGCTCATGGATTCAAGTATCCCGACCTGGACACTTGGGCATTAGACGCGGTAGAGGCATACTTCGACGCCATGGATCACGAACGTTTTCTCTCCCAAGCGGTAGCACGACTCGAACGCGCTGTGAAACGTGCAGCCCTATCGCATCATGACGGACTTCGCAGCTGCATCGTGAACCGCTGGAAAGCTCTCTTGGAAGCTGGTCTTGTTCCTCCAAATACGGTTGTCACCTTTGCTGATCGCTGTTCGCTACACGACCTCCGCGCAGTTGCTTTCTATCATATCCTGACGAAAGGCGAACACGTGTGGTCGGCCGTAGGATATCTGGACTGGTATCACTTAGTAGACTTGCAATCAGGTCGTCGTCGTCTTCATGCCTTTTGGAAAGAAACGAAGCAACAGTTGTTGGATTTGGACGCGCATATCCCTCATCGATGTAATCCTTTACTGGAACGGTTACCGTTGTGGGTCGATATCCTCAAGAAGGTCGAATCCAATACGATACTCGATGATCCTCTACACAAACTGCATGCTATCGCGACCATACTCGAGAAGCGTGCCGAAATGGAGAAAGACTCTCGATGTAGGCAAGATTGCATCGAACATGCGTTGTACGTTGTGAGGAGCTATACGGCCCAATTAAGAGATAACCTTGCGGACTACTTTCGGTTTGACAGCATTTCATAGCTCTTCTTCGGTCAGAGTACTTGATCATACCCCTTTTTGCTGTCGTTATACGTGTATCTACTACTAGAATCATGTATTCATGCTATATTATCTACCTTATTGTTAATTACTTCGAGTTTAAATCCCATTTACACAGGGGGAGTCGCCAAGTATCAGATTGCCTCCGTGTCGACGAGGCCGCTTCAGCCTCTCTCCCGCCGCCGCCGCCGCCAGCTCTCGGGTTCAAGGTTGAGCCGGTGGCCTGCTATCTGGGACCGCTATTTAGGGGAGATCTGCTGCTCTCCTTTGCCGCTTCTAAAACCCTCCGCGCTACGCCCTCCGCCGCATTAGAGGACTCCCGCTTGCCAACCAGACTCGCTAGTCTTTTGCTTCCCCCCCACCGAGTTTGGCCTACCCTGATGCCCCTCTGCGT